GGGGGGGGGGGAGATAAGAAGGAAGAAAAAAAGATAACTAAATATGCATGACATTCTGCGGTATTGCACACGACATCTTACTCAGAGAGTGACTTTTTAAAGGTTTGATTTCTCGACCTGTGGAATAGATAGAGCCTTCTTCCATGCTGAACCGGATGGAAAGGAAGGCATGTTTGTCCACCTGCGAATGTCCACTGACAGCATACCAGGGAGAAACTGTGGACAGAGTGGCAGCAGCTTGTTCCATTCAAGCAGCATGGAGGGCATATCAGGTCAGGCAGGCAGAACCCCTCCTTTTTTGGTGTCGTCTTTCCTTTTATAGAAAGTTATGTTTCAGTGGTGGCACACTGCATTCATGTGAGGGACGTGGGGCCCGTTTCCCAGTTTTAGAATGCAAAGAACGCCACCTTGTTATAAAAAAAAAAAGGTGCACGTAAAAAAAACAAAAAACAAAAAGGGAGGGAAATCACTTTTTGTCTTATTGAACAACTACTAGGACCTTTGTCGTTTCGGAAAATAGAGGGCCTCCAACCTTTCAGGAGGCCGAAACGAAACGACTGCCGCCGATTAGATTTATCAATGGCAGGGGTAGCTGGGCCTGGCCTTGGAATTATTCGGGAACGGGTGTTTGCCCTGATTTCTGAAGTGGCAATGTACTAGTGGTTTAAACCACCAGTACTTGGCCCAGCGATCGGCCACGGGGAAAAAAAAATAGAGTAGCAAGTACTAGCAACGTTTCTAGTGGGGTGAATTGGGGCGCTCCTGTAGTGACCGGCTAGGCTACCAGAAGCCCGTGGTCACTTCCCTGGCCGGGCCAAAAAGATTGAAAAAAGAAAAAAGGAAAAAATTAGAAGTTTATTTTATATCTTAAATTTGGTAAAGAATTTTTTATTTTTTTTTAGAAGGCTAATTCTTTAAGCCCTGAGGCAAAACTTGTTCAGTTTATTTTTCTGCATAACATTGTTTTTTTTGGATTTTTTGGATTTTGTTTTTTTTTCTGCTGGGACCTTCCCTTGTCCTTGCACGGGCTGGCTACCCGGGACCCGGGCGGCCTGGCTGGTAGCCTAGGTGACCGGTACTTTCCCTGAAATCGTGGCTTGTTAACGGGCACGAGTTTAGGAAGTACTGGTGGTTCAAACCGCCATTTCACACGAAGCAGAGCATTTCAATTCGTGCCTGGGCATTATTTAAAAAAAAAAAAAAAAAAAAGGTTAGCAAAAGTGGCAGGCCACTCTGAAATGGCCTCGCAGTAGCAGTAGCAGTAGCAGGTTCATGAGCTTGGAAGGCAGCTTTGTCAAGGAGGGGGGTCTGGACTCGTGGTTTAAAGAGATCCCCTTTTA